AGAGGCAGTGACACTGCTGCACTATGCACCATTATATTGCACTAGGCACATTACATTTGTCCACGCTCTTGACTGAGTTGATGGGTAGATCACATTTTATGATAAAGTAATGTGAAATTCCAAAAGGTTCTCATACTGTTTCTTGCAACTGTAGTTGTGAGAATAAATCTGTTGTCCCAGGAAGGATGCAGCAAAAAAAAAAAAAAAGTTAACCAGGTGGAATACTGGAAGAAGACATCATTAAAGCATAAAATTTTAGTTCCTCTTGACTGTGACTTACTGTGTATTTTTGATGAAGTACTAAAGAAGTAGAAAAGTGGTACTAAATAACAAGTGAAAATTTCTAAACCTAGGTTGAAATTAGCCTAATTTTATTAAAATTATGTGGTATATATTTGGTATAAATTCTTCTGTTTACTAAGTGTTATATTTAACTTTTGTGGGAAAACAACATTTTTGAGTGTGAATCTGGAATTTCATGTTTTTTAAAGATTGAGTGAGATACAGTGGTTTAGATTGGGTAACTGGTTGTTGAATGGGAATTTAAGGAAAACTTGTGAGTGAGATGCAGAAGGTAAATAGATGAGTGGAGCCCTACATGCCTTTTTTCTAGTATTACAGAGATAAAATAGCACAAGTGTGCTTGCTTATGTAATTTATTGTGAGAGAGAGCATAGCTTACTTGTTTTATCATTCTGTTTTTCAGTTGACTTTAAGCCTCATGCCAGCATGGATACTGTCCATCACATGTTACTCTTTGGTTGTAATGAACCTTCTTCTACTGAAAATTACTGGTAAGAGTTGCAACTTGCTTTTGCTATTGTACTAACTTCTCTTGTGTTAATTGCTTTCATGTGAACTTTTTCCAGTGTCTCCATTTCTTGAAAAAGTAGAAAAATTTGGAAGGAAGAAATATATAGCATTTCAGTCTTTCTTAAATACTCCATCTTGTTTTAGCTAGCTTGAGATGTCAATTTTTTTAACTAACTCTCCTATCTCGTGATTCAAGCTGTCTGCCCAGGCAGACAACAACAAAGATGTCTCACTTGCTTCTCCCTCCACACTCATCTCCACAGGGATGCAGAGGAAGAAAAACTCAGTCAAAAAGGCTCAAGGATTGAGATTAAGGACAGGGAGGGTAATAAACTACCACTTCAGATGACAGGTAAAAAAACCAGAGTAGACTTGGGGAGAAAGCATAAGTTTAATTTACCACCCCAATTTATCTAGTAGGATAGTGAGAGGAATACATAAATAAAACCAACCCAATCCTAAATGCACTCTCCACCACCCATCTTCTCAGCTACCTCCTCCCTCCCATTGGTGCAAGGAGGGACAGGGGGTGAGGGGCTCCTCGCAGTCTCTCCTTCATGCAGTCCTTTTCCTCCATCAGGGCCACGGATTGCTTCAGGTAAGTCCTCTGCTGGTGCTCAGTCTCTCTCCCCTCTCGCATGTGGCTCTGCGTGTACCAACGCATCCTGGATGTTATCACTGCCATCGATCCCCTCAGCTGGCAGGCAGTCACCTTCCTGCCATCTCAGCCACCACAGGCTTCAGGGAAAGGTCCTGCTCTGGCAGCCTTCTCCCTCTTCTTCTCTAGAGCTCTTCTCCCCCTCTTTTCGTTTGTTCTCCTCTCACCTCCACCTCCTCCAACAGAAAAACTCCCCAACTCTAAAGACAGGACAGCTCAAAACAAGATGAAACCAAAAGAGAGAGAGAAAGAACAATGGAGTCGTCTCTTAAATACCTTGATGGCAGAGGCACTGACTGGCCTGGCCCTGGCCAGAGGCAGGTCCAACTCCTACCTTGGGGTGGGGGAGGCTCTCAAAGTTTTGCAGGATTTGTTTTCTGATGCTTTCTGACTGTCTCCAAGGAGGAGCTATAGTGGGCAGGGTGCCATTAGATTTCAAGAAGCCCAGACTTCCTCTGTAGCTGGTTGCTTTTCTGTGTGTGAAGAAGTATTGTATTATGTGTCCAGAATGAAACTGAGTGAAGTGTGAGCTGAAGACGATTCTGTCAAATGGTTTGGTACTTTACTTGCCCTTCAAAATGCCAAAGCAGTGAGGGTGGAGGGCGGCTCTTGGTGCCACTAAAAAACAGGTGTGGTGATCCAAAGTGAGGAGTGTGTGAACATGGGTGGCCATGAATGGTTCTGTCCAGAAATTTTGCAGGTTCTCCCCAGATTTTCAGGAGAGAGCAGATGAGGTAGTTATACTGACCCTGCAAAGTTGGTAAGATTTTTGCTCTGGAAGACAAATGCCCCTCCCTTCGTCCTCCTTTCTCTTGACTTATACTTGCTGAACAGATGTCCTATGATAGGGTACGTTCCTTTGGTCAATTTGGGCAGCTTCCAAGATCTTGCCCACACCCAAATGACTGGTGAGGAGGAAGCGTTGGAGGCACAGCCTTGATGCTGTGCAAGCAGTGCAAGCACTGCTCACAGTAGCCAAAACACTGCTGTGTTACCAGCACCTTTCTAGCCACCAATGCAAAGCACAGCACCATGTGAGCTGCCATGGGGAAAATTAACTCCATCTGAGCCAGACCCAATACATTAGTGTTATATTTAAATCTGGTATTCATTATTTCGTATGCAGGTATTGATTAAATCTTGCTAATTTTTGTGTGTAGCTTCTGAGCTGCAGTGTTTGATTTACATTCTCAAAAATAAAAACTCTTCATTCAGTGTCTCATCATTTCACGTCCCTGCTGTTACAACAGTTTGCAACATTTAATCATGCTCTGCTGTGGCTCTCTGCAAGCCTAGAGAGAGGGTTATGGCTGCTCTACATAAACAGGCTTTATACTTGTTATAAACAGTGCATTTATGCTTGTTTGACACACACAAGCTTGCTCAGATGCCTGTTCACTACAGACCAGTGTGTGTATATAGTTAATGTAGTTTGTGTATGTATAGACATATGCATATGTGGATACATATATCTGTTTATATCTATAAATGTCTATATTGTAAATATGTACGTTTAAGCATTTAGTTATTTGGAAACCGTTGCACATTTTTTAAGCATAACGAAAGAGCAATGTGTGTATTTCATCTTTCTCCCCTATAGTCTTGCCTGTCCATTGGCCATTGTCTCAGGAGAAAAGTTTGGTACAGCCTATGCAGATTTTTTTACGTAGCCAATGTGATCCTTTAAAAATATTGTGGTATGAACAAAGGCTAGCTGACCCAAAATCTGGCAGTGAAGCTGTGACTGCGTTTGTGTTTTGCTCTTAACCAATCTCTTCAACACGCTTGCAAATTGTGCAGCTCAGTACCTGCTTAGATTGTTAGATCCTTGAAGTTGTTTTAAGGGTAATTTTTTTGGATGGTAGCAGTTGAAAGCTGCACAGTTTTACCTGCAGCTTTAAGAATTGTAAGTTGTGAAACATTTCACTTATCCTGACATAAGTTTTCTTGTCCTTTGGGGCATATTTGAAGAGGAAGATTACTAAACTACTAGTGGTTGTGAAGGTTTAGAAATACGTATTATGAGCAAAATTAATCAAAAGAAATGAATGGCATGTTCCCTTTTCTCTTGGTAGTCTCATGATTATGACAATGCCTTTTGTCAGAAGAAAACACAGCAGCTATGTCGGAGTAAGATTCTCTGGGATCGCAGAAATGCATAATGTCCTGCTGGGAGAGTAGCCTGGAAAGCATCAGTGTGATTTGTTTTGATAGGTGGGATATGTGGCTCAGGCGTTGCCAACATAAATGTTACTGAGCCTGCACCCAATAAAAATTCCTGGTCTTTTATGCTTTTACACTCTTCCTCACAGTGAATAAGACTATTTTCCTCCGTATTTACGGTGGCTGAAACATGCTTTAGGTGTGTTGTGGTTTGAGCACACCCAGCCAGCAGAAAAGAACTGTGCAGCTGCTTACTCACACCTACTCCCAAGAAGGAGGGGGTAGGTGTGAGTAACCAAAGGCTTGAGGATCAATATTAGGGACAGGGGAGGCTCACTCACAACTTAACAGTCACAGGCAAAAACCAGAGCCATCTTGAGGAGAAAATATCAATTTAATTTACACAGCAGAACCACCACCAGTTTAATAGTCAGTTAGATCAGAGTGGGATAGTCACAGAATAAATACAACCAGATCTTAAATACACCTTCCCCCCACCCCTCCCTTCTTCCCAGATACCTCCTCTCTGCAGGCAGCACAGAGGGGCCAAGGGGTGTGGGTTGTGGTTAGTCCATGCTGCTCCTTCCTCCTCAAGGAGAGGACTCCTTGAAGTCTCCCCCTGCTCCAGCGTGGTGTCCCTCTCACAGGAGACAGTCCTTCTCAAAATTCTGCATTGTGAGTCTTCCCACGTGGTTGCAGTTCTTCCTGAATTGCTCCAGTATGGGTCCGTCCCTCAGGCTGCAGTCCTCCCAGCAGCACAGCTTCCCTCAGAGTCACGCCGGGTCCAGCGGGCAGTCCTTCACAGGCTGCAGTCTGGATCCTCCTGCACCACTGTTAAATCTCCTTGGTCTGCAAGAGCTCAATTGGCCATCTCACCATGGGCCTCAGGGAAATCTCCGCTTCAGCACCCTCCTCTCTCTCCTCACAGACCTCAGCAAGGAGAGAGAGAGAGCAACTGCATGGTGGCTCCTCTCACCTCCTCCCTTCCAAAACAGGACTCCCCAACACAAAGAAAGTTGCCCAACAGATTTCCTTCACTTCTTAAATATGTTGATTGCAGAGGAGCTGCTTTTCTCATCCTTGGCCAGAGCTGGGTCCAACTTTTACCTGGGGGAGGTTCTGAAGGCTTTGCACAGGAGCCACCCGTCCAACCAAGATCCCCACGAGACACAAACGTGGTGCAATGTGTACAGTTTCCCAGGTCTCATTTTTCCATGGGTAATAGGCAGAGAAGGGACTATATTTTGTATTGAAACCTTGACATGAGTATCAACCTGCATTGCATCTGGCTTGGATCGGTTGATGTTTTCTGAATAGTTTTGAACTGAGGCTTTCTAAAAGTCCTTTTGTGTATGCTGCACCTGCTCAGTGCTGAGTTGCTTTGTCACTGAAGAAAGTACATATAAACTCTGTAAATAACCCTTTTCCCTAACAGAGGATGGAGGGAGAGAAGTGGCTTCTAGGTGGGTGTTTGCAAAGCCCCTTGATATCTGTTGTTTGTTTGTCCTTGTGTATCATCCTGTAGCTTACAGCCACAGATAGCAGTCAGCACCCTCTTGTCCCAGGTTTATTGTGCTGTCCCTGGAGCTGTGTCTGGTAGTGTCTGTGCCCTGAGTTTATCCATTCTTGCGAATTAAAGGTATTTGGAGCTTAACAGGCTTTGCGAGTCTTTCACACTCCACCCCTAGTGTCACCCGCAAGGTATTAGCTGCAGAGGATGGGGAGAACTCTGGAGCTCTCACTTATTTTAAGTATTTGTGACCTGTTTGTGGCCAGCTTACTGTCACCAGTTTTCTGTCAGTGATTTTTAAATGTCAGTTTTGACTTGTAAAGGTTTCATGTCTTCTTCCCTCTGTGTAAATGTGGCAGCCATTGTCAATTTTGTGGCACTTAAACTAGTAGTGCTAGAAATTTTCATCAGGTTCATTCTCACAAGAGGTTCCTTTATTTTTTATAGCCTAGCAAGGGCTATAAGAACTGTGGATGGTTTTGAACCTGTTTGCCTAACGCTATATCAGAGCAGAGGGAGGGGAAAAAAACGTGAGGATCTAATGATATCTGGGAAAGCAGTCTACATTACAAGAAGTGTCATTAATGAACATACATTAAAAAAATCTTCATATATTCTCGAATTGGTGGTTTTGCCTGTAAATCACCTGCCCTTTTTTCATTTCAAAATTGTAACATTATATTCTCTTTTGTTTTCTTTCCTCATATTTTTAGGGACTGTGATGAAGGAACGTGCAAAGACAAGTCGAATATTTTGTATGCTTGGGCAAGAAATGCTCCACCCACCAGGCTACCCAAAGGTATTGTGCCTTTCCTGTGAAGTTCTTGTGTAAAGGGCAAGGGAGAGAAGAGGATGTGGAAGAAAGCACCTGGAATATCTAGAAACATCCTATATTATTTTTATTATGTCTAGCTGATGGAAACCATGTAAACATCAACCTCATAAACTATGAATATATTTTGCTAGCTAATATACTTGGGTTTTTTTTGTCATCCCGTTTGCTGTAACATTATGCGTTTCAGTAGGGGGAAGAAAGGCTAAGGGAAAGATGACAGTCATAATGCTTATTTTTATACAGTATTAATCTTGCATTTCCTACTGTATGTTGTTGGAAGGGTATTATTTATGTATCTTTCAGTAGCACATAAACCGCATTAGAATATTTTTGTGTGCTTGGGAAAGCACAAGTTCAATCTAAACATTGAATTTTTTTTCTATATCTTAAGTATACTGGACAATTCTATGTGCTTTTCATTTCTAAATGCTTTGATGCGGTTGAGCAACGTGTTTATGTACCCATTTTCTTCTGTGATAGATGACTACTGAATTCAGTCAAAATTTTTTAAGCTACTTGAAGTGGTATGTCTGGAAGACAGGCAGAGGTGGTTCTTTCTAATAACCACTAAGGGTGCTAGAAATATCTGCCATCTCTATAGCCTCACTCTGAAAATACCTTGAATTCTAAAATTTTTTTCCGCCGCTTTCTGTAACCAGGAGCAGTTTACAGTATCAGGAAGAGGTTTATTTTTAATAATCCATTTACACACTTATTAGCATGAATGTTACTTGAGTTGTTTATCAGAATGTGGAGTTAAAATAAATGTTGCTTGAAGGATACTATGGAAACCTGGTGTTTGCTTTACTGTTAAACTCCAGCTAGTAATAATTTTCTTGTCTCTAAGCTGTCCACAAATACAAGGTTTGTGGGGAGGGTTCATAATAATACTACGTTTGTGCACAGAGAGGCTGCAGTCCCATTTAGAAGTAGACTTTGCCATGGGCAATGTTTAATCTAGTGGGATTCACAGACTGAATAGGAAGAAATTGCTTTCTCTGCTTCTTTTGAAGAGAATTGGTTTATAGAAATCCCTTGTGATGATGATATTTTGCAATTTTATTATTTCAAATTATTTCAGATTCCTCTCATTTTCTTCTGCTCCTGGGTTTTCTTCTGTCAAAAAGTAATATAGCTTGATAATTTTCACAAGATTTTTGTGCATAAAATTTAATTGTAAATTAAATGTAATTAAATGTAATCTCAAAATATTTTACTGCAGATCATTTTATCTCTTCATTCTCAGTGTGTTCTTAGTAAGTCTGTTAATCAGTTTGTGCTGTTCACAGGTTTTAGGAAAAATGTTCTACTAAATCCTACAAGGACGGCAATACTTAATTTTTAGGTTTTTTTTATATAGATGCATGTGTATATATATCAAATCTATAATCTTGTATTGAGAGAATGCTCTGCTTAAAGCAGGTGACTAAGCGATGGTCCTAACTTCTTAGTTGGGCACGTGTTGTGATGGTGTTTTTCCCAGTCTTCAGGACGATGTTTTTTTCACTGGTCTCGGTGACATTCTCCATCCCTTCACTTGAAGCTGTTGCACTTTTTTATACGGTCAGCAGTGATGAACTATCCTACGTTTTATCGTTTCTGAAAACAGTGCATTTTCCTTCTGTCTTAGGTGTTGGATTCAGAGTTGGAGGAGAAACAGGTGGTAGATTTTTTGTGCTCCAGGTGCACTATGGGGATATTAGTGCATTTAGAGGTATGTATTTTGGAAGTTTGTTCTGTAAGGTATATCAGCTACAAAAAGTATATAACTTACTTGTAGAAAAGTTTACTGTTAGTGCCACTCACAAAGGTAAAGATCGGTGGGCATATTTGCAATAAGTTTGCATATTGACCTGACATCTTCATAAACTTTTTTATCTCTGTAAATGCTTGAAAGGTGAACAGATTTTTTCTTCTTCAAGACATATAGAGCAAATTACTTCTAGTAATGAAGAAGTGGATTAATAATTTTAAGTGTAGGAGGAAACTTGTCTTTTCCTGTATAATTCAGTGTTTTCTTTTAGAAGGTTGAAACCAATACCTGTAAACACCCCTAACCTGTCACTTTACTTGAATAGTTGGTGAGAAAGATGACATACGGTGGCCAGTTAATATACTTCCAAACACAGCACCTGTGTTTGGAAAAAACTTTTTAATAGTGGAGACAGTGTCTTTCAATATTTCATTTTTTTTAAAGGGATGGAACACTTGCTCCAAGCATGGCAATATGCTTATTGCTATCAGTGAGTGTTTTACAGAATCACAGAATGGTTGAGTTTGAAAGGGACCTCTGGAGGTCATCTGATCAACCCTTCCCTGCTCAAGCAGGGACACCTACAGTTGGTTGTCCAGTGTCATGTCCAGCTGGCTTTCGTATATCTCCAAGGTTGGAGACTCTGCAGCCTCTCTGGGCAACCTGTTCCAGTGCTCAGTTTCCCTCACAGTGAAAAAGTTTCTTTCTGACAAGCTGCTTTCCAGCTGGGTGTCCCCCAGCATGTGCTGGTGCTTGGGGTTGTTCTCTCCCAGGTGCAGGACTTTGCACTTCTCCTTGGTGAACTTCTGACACCTTTAGATGCATGAATTCTTATTTTCACTCTATATTACAACTTGTGTGGAGTTTTTGACTTCAAGAGCAAAAAGAAATTTGGGTCATCATTCTCTTGGAACTCGACGGTGATACATTACTTGTACTGTTTAAAGAAGAGTGTGGGAGATCCTCATGGGCTAAGTAGTAATCAAAATGTGGGACCTGAAAGAAGGAGGGGGAAGTATCCTGGTGAACAGCAAAAAATTGAGGAATATTACCACTGGTTTGAGCTGTGCCCGTGGCCTCTGAATCCTTCTATGGTATCATGGTAAATGATCCACACTTGCTTTTGAAGAGAGAAGTTACCTGTAGCTGGCAGCTTCCCAGTGCCACACAGCCTCTGTTCTGTACACCTCAGACAAGGTTTAGGCAATGATCATCTCGAATTTTCAGCAGCACTGTCTGAAGCTGAAGGTATGGTTTCTGTCATGACGTGAAGAAATTTTGTAGCATACTGGCAGTAATGGTAACTGACGAGGAGGAGGAAGGAATAAACTGAGTGTGCTAACACTGTTTAAATGGAGCATGTATGCAAAAAAGCATAACTGCAGTTGAAGAAATTTATTTTCATGAGACAGTTCACATGGATCCCTACAGCCCATGAGATTCTTTGCCTGCTAGAATCACAAATAATTAAAGTTGCAAACCTCTAAAGAGAATGCTTGGATTGAAAGCCTGCTCTTCATTATTGCTTAGGGAAAACGAGAGCTCTTACTGTTCATTTTCACTCTTAAAGTGTAACTTATGTGTATGCAGTTATTAAAAAAAAAAGGGAAATGAGATCAGTAACCACCATTACACATGGATTGAGAGTGTGTTTGGAAATTTTTATTAGTAAATGAACTTGGTAGTCAAAGTTTCTACTCGAAAAATCCATTTGCCCATCTAAAGAAATGACAGTGAAATAAATTACCACCTGAAATTGAAACTTAATTTTATACCAACACCCACTCTGTATTGTTGCTTATTGACACTCAATTCTAATTCCTATCAGTTTTGGGGGAAAAATGTCGTAGTTAAAATTTACCAACTCTCAATTTTCAGCTCTTTATAAAAAGGGTATTTCTTCATTTCATTAATTAGTTATTAAACTAATTCTGCTTTCTCTGTCTCCTTGGCTCTAAATCAGAGCTAAATATTCATTTTTAGATATGCACTTTATGCTCAGATATCAAAATAAAGCTTATTATGTCTTGTCTAAAATGCACATAATCAAAAAATATATTCTGTCAAAAAATAGGGGTACATGCAAAGAGCTATCTTAGAAAAATAGTAGTTGCTCTACTTAATTTAATTAAAAATTTGATTAAATTATTTGATTAAACCAAAACGAGTTATGGTTGATAGTAGATACAGTTACTTAACAAGTAAAAAGTTGTCAGAAATTTGTCTGTCTTTTTCTATATATTTGTGTTAGGATTCAAACAAAAGTAAATCTAACCATCTTTAGATCTATAAAGTCAGCTTTCAGTTTGGGCCGTAGGGATATGCAATGGAGTTGTCAAACTGTTCTTGATTCATTCTTCCATATAAGTGCCTTTGGATCTGATTTTCAAAAACTCTGGGTTTTTTTTTCCAATCCCTAAAATTTTTTTCTGCCCTCCCTGTAAATAAAGACTAATGTTTCTAATCCACCATGCTATTATGTTCGTACTTTCCAGTACCTGTGAGAACAAAGATGTTATCTCCAAGAACCACAGTAATAATTTTTGTCCATATGCTTGGAGCAAACTTTTGAGGAATTCTTTAATGTTTTTTCCTTTCTCGTTCCCTCTTATGTGTGCACAAGGGACACATAATATTTGTCTTCTCAGCTCCTTCTCGTAACCCTTACTTCTTCACTGAGGTTAGATATATTTCTCCCTACTATCATTCTCTACAAAAATTATATTACCCACATTACGTATGCTATCACAGATGCACTTGATTTTGTGAGGGAAGTGTGAGGTTCTTATTTCTGGCTTTGGTTTTGCTGGGGTTTTTTTGGAGGGAAGGTAATTAGTTTTGGCCACCAAGCTGGTAGATGTCTTAAAAATAGCTTTTCTTCTTAAGCACATGAATTATAAGCTGCCATTTGCTTCTCTTTTATAACCCAAAGACATGACATTGTGTCTTTAATAATTTTGCATATTCCCAGACACTAATTTCTATGATATATTATGACAAACTTTCAGCAAGTCCGTTATCTGTGACTTTCACGAGGTATTTATTTGTTAAAGAATTTACACTGGACCGGGATCAACAATATTTATCTTTTCCTATTTGGAAAGTAGATTGTGAAAATGGCACAAACTGAATAAAAATAGAGTTTCATTCTACATGTTACAAGACTTCTAAAAAGAATTTTGCTGAATTGATTGTGGATGAGTGAAGAGATCAGCAAGAGCAAGTACCTTGACTCTCATGAAAAGAATTAATTCAGCTAGTGTTCTTTTCTGTATCAATATTGAATGCGACATATTGAATTTGTCTCTTTCTTTGCCAAGACTTCAGGTTCATTTTTGTACTGTATGTCTTTCTCTTTTCACATATAACTTGTACAAAGGTTCTTCCCAGTGGGCATTAACTTTGGAATTGCCTTGCTCAGAGGTTGTGCTCCAGTTTTGAGCCTACTTGTTATCTTTAATAAAGCAAAGCCAATTCTGAGACTATATTTGGAGATACTGGTGCAAATCAAAGGGCTGGTGCAAATCAAAGGGCTGACTTTGAAATAACAAGAAGTTTGGAGCTTCATAAATAGCACTACTCTGTTACAGTGAAAGCTTTTACATATTCTAGGAACGATGTATGAGTGCTATACTGTTCCTATTATATTTAGAAATGGAGCAATGAAGAAGTTGAATAAATCATTTTAGTAGTGTGCTCTAGAATTTATAATCCATCTACTCGGAGTACAAAAAAACCCCCAGGTTTTGAATGAAGAGTGTTCAATTTTTTAATCCTAAGTAAAAACCACAGAATCTATGAAGCCCCAAAAGTCTCCACTTCTGTAACGGGTTATAATACAAGTAACTATGGAGGAAGCCTATCAGACTCACATTAGAAGTTTTTTCAAAATCATCCTATGGAAAGAGAGGATTTCTGTTTAGGATAATTTGGCTTCACCTCAGTTGTGAGTGTTTAATTTGATAAACTGTGTGTATTTCAGGCATTTGAGATATTTCTTCTAACAAGTGTGATTAACAGGAGTAGCACAAATGAATCTTTCTAACTAATTCAAGTGTTTATTGGCAGTTAAATATGTAATTACCATTACAAATCTATTGTGCACAATGTTTAAAAATGATGTATTTAAAATCTTAAGTTAGTATTAGGCTTTAACGTGAACCGTTACTTTGACATAAAAACTGGGAATATTTCTTGTGATTGTGTTATAGTTGCACACTCCGCAAAAGGCAATCATAAGCACAGCTTCTAGTTTTATTTGAGTTGGAAACTCTGCATGGACAATTGTCTTTCGTTTGAACTTGTTTCTGAGGAACATAAAAATACATTTTTTGGTCTTTGCCATGTGGCAAATGGTAACTAGTAACTTCTTGGAAGCAGAGCAGTGCATGCTTGTTGAATAGCTGAAACAAAGAAATCAAAGCAGTTAGATAAGCTGGACAGGCAGAGCGGAAAGGAGACTTCAATGTTTTGTTTGGTTTATGCATTATTTAGGGATATTTTTGCTAGGTCACACAGTGAAGCTCGAAAGAGTTGTCGTTTGGAAGCGGCATGACCTCACTGCAGTCAGCATTCTTGGGTGGAGCAGCTTTGAGCGTTTCAAGGATGGGAGGAGGAGCAAGGAAACCTCCTCAGTTTTTAGAAGAATGTTTAGCCTAGTCATGGCTAAATATAACCACAAAATAAGTTATATTGCACTGTAGGAATTTCTTAGAAGTCTAGAACATGTATCCATCCATTATTTAACTCTTGACGTAGCACTACAGATCAAGTTCTTGTACCAGAAGTTGACTTATCTTTCTCCGAACTGTAATTAATGGTTGCTTTGTATAACAGCAATAATAACTTTCCCACTGTGTTCATTTTGAAATTGATAAATTTAGATGAAAATACTCAAGAAAATGTTTTTAGTATTCTGATAATTTAAGTATTTAATATTGACAAACTTGAGTATATTGGACTCATTTCCCTCCTCCCACTATACTATTTTAAAAAGATGTTCTGTGACATCCTAAGGGTTAGATACTTCAAATGTGACTCATGTTTGGAATATTTGTCGTTTGGCTTTATTGGTTTTGGAGAGTTTTTCAGCAGTGTCTAAAATGGTGATATTTTCAAAAGCAAATTGCAAAACTGAGGGGCACAAAACTTCCAGTTACATTTTATATTTTATTACTTATGAAGTGAAATGTTCTGAGAAGAAGCAAGCTTATCTCAACTTCCATTAAATCTTCCTAAAAATGTTAAGCTTACTAAAGCCAAGTTCTGCAGCATCACGTGTTATATGAATAGCCAAAAATTTAATAAAAAAAAACTAAGTTGAACTGAGGAGTGTGGGACAAAAGAGGCTTCACAAAGACCTTCATAGCAAACACAGGGATATTGAGATTCTAAATGAATCTTCTTATAGTGAAGAGTAGAGGACAATGATTAGTATATAAATAACTTTTTCTAAAAACCTGTGCAAAAAAAATTTAGTTTCTCTTTCTCTTGAATATTTTGCTGCCATACTTTAGTCATTTTTGTGTAAGTGACTTAGCATGCAGTGAATGTATTTATGGAAAGATACTATAATTTTTCTCCTCGTTTTTAAGGAGTAACACTAAAAAATCATTTGAAGGCTATGCTTTAAATGTGTTTTAAAGACTGTACTTCAATTCCGAGAATTTTTATCTTAAAATTTAGATTAATTTTTCAATATCTACTATTTTTCTATACAAAGATGCATGTCTACATAAAAGGTACATATATAAGAGTGTATGGTATTGCTCAAAATTCTGTTTTCTACGCTATTTTGTTTATTTGTCTGCTTTGTAGAACATAGAAAATGTGAGTGATACAGCAGCAATAACTGACAGACTAGTTTTGCAATTTTGTGAATGTGTGTGAGCTTAAAATACTTCTACTGAAACTGCAAGTGAACTTTCTCAATACTCTACCAAACTCATGCTCAATTCTTTATACAGGATATAGGTGCTGAATTTTCTGTATTTGAGGCAGTATTCTGTCTGCATTGAATGGTGGTGCTTTTGTTATGGATTACCAACAGAATTTTCAGCTGCTTTCCTTCTGATTCATAGCACTTGATTTCAAAAATTCTCATGAGACATCCGTTCCACTCAATGCAACTACAGCAGTGGGTAGTCTTGATTAAAAAGCAACTGTTCTCATTTTTCTTTTGCATATGCGCTGAAGACCTACCTTTTTTTGTTGTAGCTTGCAAATGTACAGCTGTGATTTAGTGATTCAGATTTTTAAATACTGAAATGTTTGTTGGGACATCCAGAGCTGGAGAAACCAAGAATTCTCAGATGCCATGATGTTGAGCATTATGAGAACCTTGTGAAATTGGGATAGCAACCCTTTCACTTGCATTACATATGTACTAATTTATTCATTCTGTAAGATAATTCCTCTCTACTGTGTGAACATATTGAAACTGAGTTCTAGTGTAAATGGTAGTAAACCCCAAACTGAATAAAATCCCTTAATAGAGAGATGTGGTGTGTCTATAAAATAGCAAATGTTTGAAAAGCTAAACTGATGCTTTTTAATCTGTAAAGTCTCCCTGTTCTGTTTCACCCTAGGCATTATTCTTTCTTCTGCTCAAATGTAGTGCTTTTTTAATTCAGAATCTAGCTGCAGATGGGAGAAGAATCCCTCCCAAGCTAGCACTTGTCAGCAGATACATAGTCACTCTGATTTCTTTCTGACCTGATACACCTTATACAGTTAGAGGGTCTTTTTCAGCATTTTCTGTTTCCTTGCTTTCTTCTAACTACACCTGTTGTGGTATAAATGTAAGAAAAGGTAAGTTTTGCAGCATGGGCAATAAACAAGAGAAGCTGGAGATGCTTGGGTGTCTGCAGTGCTATGATCTAATTGGCATCACAGAGACATGGTGGAATGAATTCTGCAATTCACATGTTGCATTGGAAGGCTGTAAGCTCTTCAGAAAGGACAAGCAGATGAGATGAGGAGAGGGTGTTGCCCTCTATGTCAATGAACAGCTAGAATGCATGGACCTCCACCTGGCAAGTGGTGATCAAAAGACCGTGTGTCTGTGGGCCAGGGTGAAAGGAAAGGTAGGAGACATTACAGTGGGGATCTGCTGCAGAACACCTGGCCTGGAGGATCAAGTGGACAAGGCCCTTCATAGACAGATAGGAGTCAAGCTCTGGTCCTCACAGAAGACTTCAACTGCCCTGCCCCACTATCAGTTGGAGAGACAACACAGCAGAGCATAAGCAATCCAGGAGATTCCTGGAATGCATTGATGATAACTTCCTCCTCCGATGGAGGAACCAGCAACGAGAGGTGCCATGCTAGACCTTGTTCTGATCAACAGGGAGGGCCTGGTGGGCAGCGTTAAGCTCATGGACAGCCTTGACTTCAGTGACTGTGAGATGGTGGAGTTTAAGATCCTAAGGACAGTGCAGAAGGGAAAGCTCAGCAAGCTTGAAAACCTTGACTTCAGAAGAGCCAACTCTGATTGCTTCAGGAACCTCCTTGTTAGAGTAGGACAAAGCCCGAGAGGGACTGAGAGCCCAGGAAAGCTGACTGACTTTCAAGTCACTCTCCTGCAAGCTCAAAGGCACTGCATCCCTAAAAAGAAGAAATCAGGGAAAAACATCAGGAAGCCTATATGGATGAACAAGGAACTTCTGACCAAAATCAAATATAAAATGGGAAACCACAAAGGGTGGAAGCAAGAGCTGGTAACCTGTAATGATTACAAGGAAATTATTCATGAAATCAGAAACGAACTTAGAAAAGCTCAAGCCCTGGCAGAATCAAATCTGGCCATGGACATAACAGAAAAGGATTCTAAGGTATGTGAGAGAAAAAAGAAAAAAAAACAATACAAAATGTGGGACCTCTCCAGAGCAATACGGGTGACCTGGTTCCTGAGGATATGGAGAAGGCTGAAGTACTCAATGACGATTTTGCTTTAGTCTTCACTGGTAACCACTTGAGCCATACCGCCTACGTCACAGAGGGCATTGGCTGGACCTGGGAGAGGGAAGAACCACCCAGGGTAGGAGCAGATCAGGTCCAGGAACACCTAGAGAACCTGAAGGTGCCCAAGTACATGGGACTTGATGAGATACATCCACAGGTCCTGAAGGAACTGGCAGCTGAAGTTGCTAGGCTACTGGCCATTGTATTTGAGAAGTCGTGGCAGTCTGGCGAAGTTCTCACAGATTGGAAAAAAGGAAACATAACCCCCATTTTTAAAAATGGAAGCGAATAAAACCCAGGGAACTACAGACCAGTCAGCCTCACTTCTGTGCCAGGTAAAATCATGGAGCAGTTCCTCCTGGTAACAGTACTGAGGCAGGTGAAAAATAACAAGGTGATTAGTGACAGCCAACCTGGCCTCACTCAAGGCAAATCATGCCTGACTAATTTGGTGGCTATGACAAAGTTACAGCTGTAATTGATATGGGAAGAGGAACTGATGTCATCTACCTGGGGTTGTGCAAGGCATTTGACGCTGTCCCACGTGACATCCTTGTCTCCAAGCTGATAAAATATGGGATTGATTGATGGACAATTGGTGGATAAAGAACTGGCTTGACGATTGCACCCAAAGAGTGGCTGTCAATGGGTCCATGTCCAAGTGGAAGCCGGTGTTCCTCGGGTCTGTTCTGGGTCCAGTGCTGTTGAACATCTTTGTCAGCGACACGGACGACAGCATTGAGTGCACCCTCAGTGAGTTTGTCGACAACCCCAAGTTGCGTGGTGAGATGGGCTTGCTTAAGGGAAGGGATGCCATCCACAGGGACCTTGACAGGCTTGAGAAATGGGCCAGTGCAAACTGCATGAGCTTCAACAAGTCAAAATGCAAGGTCCTGCACCTGGGCCGAGCTAATCCCAGGCACAAATACAAACTGGGCACAGAGTGGGTTGAGAGTAGCCCTGAAGAGAAGAATTTGGGGATGTTGATGAGAAGCTCAACATGAGCTGACAGGGTTCTCATGCAGCCCGGAAGGCCAACCCCATCCTGGGATGCATCAGTGTGGCCGGCAGATCGAAGCGTCCAGAGATAGGACAAGGGGAAATGGGTTTAAATTGAAGGAGAATAGGTTTAGACTGAATCTTAGGAAGAAGTTCTTCAGTATGAGGCTGGCAAGACTCCGGAATAGGTTGTCCAGAGAGGTTGTGGATGTCCCCTCCCTGGACATGTTTAAGGCCGGGTTGGATGAGATCTTGAGCAACCTGCCGTACTTGGGAGGCGTCCCTGCCCACGTGAGAGAGGTTGGATTAGATGATCTCTAATGTCCCTTCCAGCCTAGGCCGTTCTATGATTGAACTCCCAGATCACCAGCTAAAATTGAGTAACTGTCAAGACAATATTATTATTAAATTATAATGTCAAACATATTAGATAATTCTGATATACTACATTGACAAATTAATTAACTATTTTTATTGTCCTTCCGATGTTAAACCAAATCACTGTATTGGTATCTCAAGTTCAGCTACTGACTTTATTGCAAGGCATTCTGGCTGCTTCATTATTAAGGGCTAGAATTATTGCTTTTCCACAAATATTTAATTTTTTAACTTTTGTCAAAATACAAATTTATTTGAACCAAACCAACTTTTTCTGCTGTTGTAAAAATAGCACTGTTTCATCTCCCAGATGCTCATTCCTAAAGATCTGCAATTTCTAGTCCCAAAAATGCAGTTAGCTTTTAATCCACCAGAGTTTTACTCTCTATTAGGATTTTGCTAGAAATGCAGCAGTGTGAGTTTAAGGTTTGTGCAAATTTGTGTAATGTTTCCACAGTATGAAAGTTTACTGCAACAGTTAGTGTAAAACTTTCTTTGGCTTTGGTATTTTTAGGCAGCAGAAGAATGTTATTAATGTGGAATAATTTCACATGGGTTCAGTTGTTAATGATTGAACTGTTTTGTGATTTGTACAGATAAACACAAGGACTGCTCTGGTGTAACTTTACATCTGACACATCAAAAGTAAGCATCTTTAATAGTACTTTCCTGTTACAATTTTTTTCATCAGGACAGATGGCATGAACACGCTTCCTTTAGATCCTTTGATAATGTGAAATAGAAATAGTACATACTTCATAATATTTAGAATTTTGAACCGTTTGTCATTTGTTGACAATTTCTTTCTTTTCCTGCTAAGAAACTTGATGAAACATTGCTATCAGTACCTAGTTATTCCAGGTAAAGAGCTTCGTGTTTAGAAATCTGGGACAAGGACAGCAATTTTGTAGATGATAGTTGTGTCCTATTTCACATACTTTGTAGAAGATGCCTTAAAAATTGGAGTTCATTATGAAACAAAGGAGGGAAGGTAAAGTGCTGTGTAATAGCTTCTTTCTCAGTAGACCAGCTTCAAACGTAATCTAATGTTTAGAAATTAGTGGTATGAAATGGTATTGCCTATTATGTCTCTTGCACTCAGGACTTGTTTATGAAGGACTTGTTTATTAGAGATTGGTTTTTGAATTACAGGCAGCCTTTGATTGCTGGAATGTATCTTATGATGTCTGTGAACACTGTAATACCACCGGGCGAGAAAGGTGAGTCGTAGTTTTCTACAAAGTAATTATATAATTTCAGCATCTGATTTATTTTTGCTGCTTATTCCAGAAGAAAATTTAGCAGACACTTGCTGGGTTTTAGATGGACAAATTAATTGCTTAATTAAACAAATAATGAGAAAAAATAGCTACAATTTTTAAATTGCATTTTATTTCCTGAAGGCTCTATTGGCAAAGGCGATCAATGCTGCAGAAAACAATATTGTACAAAACAATAATCTGTGCAACAGATCTGTGCAACACTGAAGTTTCTAGGATTCTCAAGAGTATTTTTTTGATTCATTTTCATCTTAATATTTTACAAAAAAGCCCTACCTATTTTTTTATTCTCCCCCTCCCTGCCAAAAACCATAAAATTTTTGGACTCTTCTTCATCTACATGGCAACAATGCTATTTGTGATTTAATGGGAGTTAATTTTTAATGAATTAATTTCTATCAGTAATGAGTTTTATTTGTATGTCCCTACTTAGTTAAAAGCCCAACATGCTGAAAAAAACATTGTAAAACAAAGTTCCCTAACAGTTCAGAATCCTAGTCAGTGGATTTTATCAGAAACTCAGCTTGGATAGTCCCAATATCATTTCTTCAAGCTAGCATGGAATCTTCCATTTTAAGGAAGTTGAACACAGACATTTTTGTATGCTATACCAAAATTCAAATTAGATATCTGAGAACACCATTTGTCCCAATTACAGTTAGCTGCCTCAACAGGATGAGGTAGTCAAATGAGTAGTTGACTCCGGCTCTTTGAAGAATACAGCAACTTGAAATCTTTTTTTATTTGAATTGAAACTTAACATGTTTTGGTCTTCAGTATGAAAACATATCAAAGGAATGCCCTCCCACTTCCCCGATATATTTTATCAATGCAGTCACTTGTGTTTTCAGCTGAGGGGTGAGAGAAAGCAGGATGAAAACAGTTCTGTGCCTGTTGATAACTACATTCTCATGTTCAATCAAGTTTGCAATTCTTAAGTAAAACATGAAATTTATTGTAAGAGGAAGAACGCAGCGAGTCCCTAGATAGCTGTCAGAGAGGTGTTGGCCAAGGAGTATCTCTGTAGACTCTTCCTTAGCTGCTATTACTGCAAATAACCAAGTACTAACCTGCCAGTATTGTCTGTACAGCACTCCTCTGCCAAAGTCTGCATCTTAACCCTAAATCTTTAAGACTGAGCCCAGAGCTATTAATATCTTGAAATCAACCTTCATTATGAATTTTACCAGTTTAGAATTACATCAGTTTACTTTAATTTTCTCCTTAATAGACTATTCACCGTAGCTCTGTTTGTTTTAAGTGTCCCTCAACATGGTGTGTAAGTAAATGTGTTACTTTACTTCATTACATAGCAGTAGTGTACTTTGGAAGAAATACTACAGTTTCAATTCCTTTTTGTATGTGCGTCATCACAGAAAGTAGTTTTCAAGCGACTTGTGCTGTATTTAATTAGTTTTTCTTTAGAAATGTCTTGAGATAGGCACTGCAGAAATACAAGATACTGTCAGTATCTTTGGAAACTGTCTGTTGTCCAGTGTAGGTATACCCTTTGTAAACCACACTGAATGAAGTACAGTAATGTAACTTTTCTGTTTGTTAAATAATGTGTTTTTCTTTGTTTATTGCCATCATATTTTAACAGTGGTTGATGCAGACATTGCCTGCCATTACAAAAGGTTTCCAATGCACCTTTTTGCCTACAGAGTTCATACCCACAGACTAGGTAAGAGTTTTATAGCAAGAGAAGAGTATCAAATACTTAACAGAAAAATCCTGACACTACAACATGTCTTCTTAGAAGTATATCTCCTGTTCACATACATATTGGTATGTTATAGGTAAAGTAGTGAGTGGATACAGAGTGAGGAATGGTCAATGGACATTGATTGGTAGACAGAGTCCACAGCTGCCACAGGTTGGTTGTTTGGGTTTTTTTTAATTCTAATTGTAAATTTTAATTAACTTTATTTAAAACTGAGAAGCTGATTTGGCACACATGTACCCACAGATTTGCACCATGGTGCTTCCACTGGTACATGTTGTGGCACTAGAAGTGAATACTGCCATGTATTGTCATGATTACGTTATGATACCAAAACTGTTCTGAAATTGCTTTTCAGATGTATAGCACTGCCATTCTTGTGTGTGTGTGTGTGTATTGATGTAAATAATCCAGGACGCTTTCACTGACTATGGTGAATCACCCTCTCTTTCAGGCATTCTATCCAGTAGAACATCCTGTAGATGTTAGCTATGATGATATTCTCGCAGCTAGATGTGTGTTCAGTGGTGAAGGCAGAACTACAGAGACGCATATAGGGTAAATTTTCTCAATCCATTTCCTAACTTTTTTTTCCAAGTTTTTTTTATGTCTAGAAATGTATTTGTCTTCTTCCGAGATAATTTTGTTAAATTCTGTCAGAATGGTCTGTTTTGCTGTTTAGTCTGCAAAATACATAACTCCACACAATGTTTGTTGCCTTTACTTACGTGAATAATCACTTTGCTGAAGTGTTCAGAATATTTCTCAGGTGAAGCTATGCTGCCAAACACCTTGCTCAGATGTTGAGCTGTTCTACACCTAGAGGAGGATTCAGAATGTCAGTTCTAAAAAATTTTTTTTTAGTAAGTTGAAGCTATTGATTGTTTAAAACAGAATAATAAGACTTCACAATTTTTCTTCATTATTTCAGAAAGAATATTGATCGAAGCTTATAAAATTCTGAACCATTGTAAAATCTACTCTTAAAAAATTAGAATTATATACTAGTTACTTTTTTATATAAAAATGTATGAGCTTTTATTAAAAACAATAAAAACATAAAAGATTAATAATGATAAATAAGAAGATCTGAACTGTATTTTTCAGTTATGCTATTCAGCCAAAGATGACAGACAGAGCACTGTAAGATAAGGTGACAATGAGAAGTTTAAATGTAGATGCAGTATTAATGTTCTCCTAACTGGCTCCAGTTCTTTGAACCATAATTTACTGCATACGTAGAGATACGACGATGCTCTGCAGGAGTCTCTCCATTCCGAAAATATGTGCTGCAACACCTCAAGAGACAAGGTTCTTAGTACATTGAGAAGCCCAAGACTGCATCTCAGTATAATGTTAGTGATTCAACAGTAATTTACTACCTTTCAGTGGGTAGTTAAAAAACCGATAAGTAGCATTTGAAACATACTTAATTATTGTTTGAAAAGAGGTTTTTACAAAGGTCCTGGCACTTACAAAAACATATCGAAAAAATTAAACTCTGGACCTTCTTTTTGAGATTTCTGAAAGTTACTGATACATTTCTGTGATGTTCCCTAAAGTAGATCCTGTTTGTTGAATAATCCTTGCATTTTAAGTAACAGTCCTAGGAAAATTGTAGTCTTTTTCACTATACTAACATGCTTTCAATGGGGAAGTAATAGGAACAGAAATTAAAGGAAGAAGCAGACCTTTACATTTTTATTATGTAATTTCTACCTATGAATTGTGATGCATTTTAAGCAGATATTCAAACTATTACAAACTGATGCATAATGTGGAAGTATATATGTTTGGAATGTATCACAACAGTGCTGCATATGTGGAAAGATATGTGTCTAAAATAGGTTAGATGAAATTTGTTTAAATCTTGGAAAATATTGCTCTGATCTTGCAGTTGTCATGCTCCCATTAAGAATGACTTGTCAATCCAAAAGAAATAGTAAAAGAACCTTTGAGTTCCAAATATAAACACTGAAAAAAATGGGAAATGCAAATGTGAAAGGAAAGCTGGAAAAAATACATATCTGAAAAGGACCACATCAAGTCTACATATTCACTTTCTCAGTCTTTGTACTTGATTTTCTGCCTGTGTTTTTGTTTGTTCTTAACGTAAAAGGCAGGGCTAAAATAGACTTCGCTTTGTTGACTTGTCTTTTCAGAGCTGATGAGTTAAGTCTTAACCATTCATAGTATAAGCTTCCTGTGGTTAAAACATGACATATGCTCAGTGTTGTGCTTTCTTAACTATGTAGTAATTTCTGTGATAGTCAACTTATCCCTTTCCTATTGATAAACTGTCGTTTTTGGCCAAGTCTATTGCTTAATCTCTAACTTGGGGAGCAAGGATAGATGTTCTTGTTTTGATTTTATACCTTCCTTACCATTCTGTTTGGTGTTTTACAAAAATGCTCTTGCTTTGTTTCATGCTTTAGTTTCAGTAAGTCCTTGCCATTATCTTACATTATCTCATGATCTCCATTATTCACACTAACCTTTTTCACCCCACTTCTCTCCTACTCTGAGAAATTAAATTAGGTATTGAGGCATACCTCTTAATTGTGTAGAGTTTGGCAAACCAAGGCTGAGAAGTGAAACCTGATTTTGCTTATGCAGTTTACTATGTACAAGTTCAGGGTAATAACATAAGCACAGCCTTAATGTCTCTGGTGTAAAACAGAGTCATCTCTTTAAAAGTTCCATGAGTCATCCATTTCAGTAGGCTGGATTTCTCCCCAAGCCCAAACTTTTGCAAGTTAAAGGGTTGAATTATCCTTTGTCAAATATGAAGGATATCAACTATTCTTAATTTATAAAGCAAGAGTGTCTATTTTTTGCTATAGACCGGTGAGCGCTCCATGCAAGCAGCCACTGCTGTTTTATAACAGATAACTTCATGATGTTTCAGAGTGAACATTAGAGTTCATATAATGTCAACTAGTATATAGCTTACCAGTCTACAGGATATCAAAGAACTGGAGCCCATTCAGTGTAAAGATCATGTCTTGGTGAAGGAAAGTGCTGCTGGCCATGATGGCTGCTTGTTTTTCCAGTTGCAATGTAATGTATTGTTTAAAACTCTTAACAGAAAATAGTGCAGCCTGTATCTTTTGCTCTCAAAATATGTTTAACAGGTATTGTACCTTTCCAGAGAAGGCTTATGTGCCTGTGGCAAAATGTTCCCATTCAGTATTTAAGGTTCCCATTCAGTATTTAAGGTTATTTAACGTTATTTAACTGCATTATCTTGCTTTTTGATCCTCTGTTTCATTCATCTTCACTGTGTATTGTGAATATACCAAAATCTGGATCTGGTTCTAGATGGCCATGGTAGTGGTGTGAAGGTGGTTAACAGGAATTTTTTTTATTTTTTTTTTTAACTTGTGCCTCAACATTTCGTCTCATTAAACTCATTCACAAAACAGGGTTTCTCAAGAGTTGAAATATTTAATGGAAGGATTCTGGGTTTCCTGTGAATTTACTAAAACTGTTGTTGACAGAGTCTTTTGGTTTTTTTTGACTGTAGGCGTTTTAAATTATTGACTTTGAAATGTTTAGACACAGTAACACGTCAGGTGAAACAGAGTTTGTGTGGGTTTCACATTCCCATTTCCAGTGGAGTTTTAAAGAGGAGGCAATTACACTGACAGATATTGGGAGTCCAACAGTGAAGTTAATGCTTTCTAAAAGCTTAGGCAGAGCTTGCCAAGTCAGAGTCTGATTTTTTTGGTCTCCAAGGGATGCTAAATTTTCAATGCATGGAAAAATACCAATTCCCCTTTTGAAACAGTCTCTTCTCCCATGTTCCCCGTCTCCCCTCTGGCTGGTGTCGTTATTGTTGCTATGGTGAATAAATGAATGCTGCAGCATGCTGCTGGAAAAGTCAGTGCTGACGTCTTTTGCAAACAGCTAATAGGCCACCCCCGTATATTTTTATGAGCGTGAACTCACTGGTTAATTTTGAAAGCTAATTAAAAAATCTTTATGTAGAACCCCTTATTTTGTGAACCTTTCTTTATAAGTCCTAGCTTATTCCGGTGTCGAGATTGTAGCTATAAATAAAAGATATCAACCTATATGGCAGAGGGAAAACTGGAAACAGATCACAGCTACAAAGAGGCCCTGTATTGTCTGCTTCACAAAATAATATTTTTCAGGAAAAAATCTTTATCGTACATTTTTTTTCTATTGAAAACAGGATTATGTAGCTGAACAGAAGAGCCTCTTCTCTTTCAATTACATCCACAACATTTGTCAAAGTATTGAATCTTGCTAGTGCTTAATCGTTCCTCTTGCACTCAAGTTTTCTTACAGAACCTTGTGATCAAGTTACTGTCAAGATGGCAGTGCTGTCTTCTCTTTAAGAGTTATTTATGGTGCCTTCATGTGCCATGAAGTTAAGTTTTGCTGCATTAGAACTGGTGTGATTGGCCAATAAATGGATGCACTTGAACATGGAGGGGGAAAAAGCTGTCATAAAATATAGCTGCTGAAATGAAACATAAATGTTATTTGCAACATTTTTCAATTAGGTTTGCCTCAGATTGACAGAGAAGTATATGAATGGTGATGTAATGAATGATACAGTTCTGTCATATTTCATCAGACCATTTGCTTAGCTGATGACATGTCGGGGACTATGAGAAGTATTTTGGGAAATGGAGAAGGAAAAACAATTTAAATAGTTGATGCAATTACCTGTAGAACCAAAGCCAAATTTTGGAGAATTTCTGAGATACCTGGGGAGTTTGTATAAAATGAAAGAAACTTTTTATATTTACTGCAATGAAGCTATTAAATGTTTTAGGGTTGAACTTCTATATGTTTAATTACAACTTTATAGTATTCTGTTTTAACGATGTAAATAAATTGAATAACAGCTATATTCAGCTCATTTTTTTCCTAACTGTCACGTTTACTGTATTGTATAGGGGAACAGCCAATGATGAAATGTGTAATTTTTATATTATGTACTATATGGAAGCCAAGCATGCTGTCTCTTATATGACCTGCACGCAGAATGCAAACCCTGAGATGTTCAGAAATATACCGCAGGAGGCAAATATTCCTATTCCAATCCAGTCTGATATGCTGAAGATGACTCATGGACATCATGAAGGTGAAAAAAACCTTGAAGTTTTTGTGTGCTCACTGATGTGTTTGTGTTGCTTTGATATGCTAAATTATCATCAAACAAAAATCTAATTCCAAATAAAATTCAAATCACTAATTGTAAACCATCCTGGGATTCTTCTCTTAGTTTTGGTGGAAATTTCTTCCACAGTCTTTTGTCCATTTCTTCCTATTGTTGTTTTTCAATTTCCAACATATTTTTATAGCTAGACGAGCTGCGTCCCCAAAAGATTGACTTCTTTTCTATGCCAGATATCAGTACTTTATATTAACAGTTTCTTAATATTTGCTTTGTCTTCTATGTATTTCCTAAAAAGTTGAATCATAACATTTCCATTGTTTTCTGGATCCCACTGCCTTACTCTGGAAGGGATCAATGTTTATATTGAACACTAGTAGGCATGTAAGTTGCAGCAGCAGCTTAGCCAGAAGTAATCTAGAAGCTATTTATGTGTACCAAAGCATAGATCTTAATTTTTTATTCCAGTTGTTTTACTACTGCCCCACTTGTTACAGCTACTGTAGAGAGGTAGAAGTACCAAATATTCATTTCAGAAGGGCGCTTTTTTCCCTAGTAGGAAGATACTTAACTTCATTTGCACACAAAGGTTAACATCATATCCTAAATCCATTTTTCAGAAACCAAGGATACTGATAAAAGTTCTTTGCTGCAGCAGACCAAAAAAGAAGAGGAAGAGATTTTGGATCAGGGTACGTACTTTTTTATTTCTATTTCAAGGGATTCACTCATGTGAAATACTGATGAATTCTATCCTGATTGTTAGCGAATTACTACATTTTAAATCTGTTTAATTGATGCAATTTGTAATGTTCTATGCAGCTAATATGACTGAATGCTGTATAAGAAATAATTTAAAAATAATCTACCACTCTTTTCTATCCCTGTAGGTAACATTTATTAGTGCATTTTAATCTCATTAGATATATTCCTGTTCTTGGTTTAATTTGCTAAAGAAGGTTACAGAGTATCTGTAAGTGCAATCCTAAAGAATGGACATGAAGAAGTAGTCCTGTAGTGTGTAACTATTCTATATTCTGTATATAACTATCTGCTATTGACTCTTAGCCTGTATCTCAGTTTGTATTACCATTTATGTATTAGAGAATATGTTCTTATGCTTTAATGTTGGTTGTACTTGCAGTAGGTTGAGTACAACTAGTGTTTAAGACTGCAGTGTTTTTCACTACCTTTGTTTATATGTGCATATTTACATAACTCATGAGAAAAGGTGTCCAGTACTTAGCTCCTGGAAAAAAATCCGTGACTATTATAAAGCTTCTAGAAATATGGTGAATGTTTTTTATGCTTCAAATATGTATTAAAATAGGACTGTACTTTAAAGCTCTGGTGGATCATGTGATATTAGAGAAATAGTTAACGGTTTTAGTATCAAGATTTATCTTGATACTAAGGAGAAGACCTCATGAGCTGCAGTTTCATATAATTTTCACTGAACAATCTTGAGGTTCAGGGACTAAATATATTAAAGCAGATTTCCCTTTGCTTTTAATGAGAGCAAAAATTAGGGTAATTTTTAGAGTTTTTGGTAACTTTTGTCTCACAGATGGGTTAGATTTTCTTCATACTCCTCCATTTTGCAGAGTTAACTCAATCATTAAGTTACAGTTACATAAAAATTAGCTTCTAGAATAAGAGCATCTTGACTGAATGTACCTTAAACTACTGGAGACAGTATTTAAAATTCCACATCTGAAACTTATCTTAGTCAATTGAAGATGGATTTTTTTTTTAAAACTATATAGAGTTCTAATTTTTTAAGCCTATTCCAGAGCAAAATGAGCTATCTGCTTACAAATTTATATCACGATTTATGCTGACAAGCTGATTCACCCTTACGTTTCTAATAAGGCATTTGGCTGAGGATCATGTAATCTGCGTTTTATTGAATTTGTTAATGTTTGAAACAAAATACTGAAACAAGGTCCTATTTTTAAAATCTTTTTCATTTGTCTTTAAAATGTGTTTCAAAGACACATTTCTGCAAAGCATTCTCATTTGCTGAGACCACTATTCACTATACATCCTCATCTAACATGTTTCTATGGAAACACACTGCATTGCTTTTGTCTATTTGGCATTAGCTGGTTCATGATGTGTAATACTAAAACGTGGTAGTTGCTGTGAGAAAATTTTGCTTCATATTCTTAATTGTTAGTTTAAGATAAATTCTCCCATCATTTACAGGAGCCTAGCTTCAATTTGACATTGATACACCTCTGACTTTAGTTGAATTATGTGTGTGTAAGCAAAAAAAATAGGAAAAATCTGACCAAGCTTGGGTTTATTTTTGTCTCGAAAGAGGGCGAGTTCGGTGGCTATTTTAAGATGTGGAGTTTGGTCCTACAAGCACATGAGCACCTGATAAGATGTGCTGGGAAAATCAGAGGGTTAAAGTGGTTTGCTAAAATGTGCCTATAAAATTACGCACAAGTTGGGCAAAGCGGTTTTGTGTAATTGTGTTGCCAATTTGTCCATCTCCTCAAGTGACATTATTGAGTTAGCCAGTATCAGCCAAATTTGAGCACAGTCTGAAAGACAGGCAAGTGCTACAGCTTGGAGGGAGAGGGCAATGTACCCCTAGACTGCACAGAAGCAAATACATGCTTTCACTGAGGTAAAAGTTATAATTTTTTCCATTTATGTTCTGACGTGACATACGCTGTATTATAAGCTTATCTACAAAGCACAGATCCACCAAAACTCAGGCTTTGATTAGTTCTTTTGCTGCCAAGCTAGTGCTCAGTAAATTCAGCCTTTGATTTGCTCTAAAGGTAATACTTCAATGATTTTTCCGTAATTCTCTGTTTTATCTTGCATGTTTTTTTCTCAATGACTCATTATGCTGTAGCAACTTATTTTTCGCCTCCTTGGTTTCAGGTAACTGAAGTAAATACTGTTACCTCACTAAATTGCTTTATTGCCCTGGAGATACTTAAAAATGTAGAGGGCAGAGGCATGGTCAGAAAGACAGATTTTGGTGTTAGTAGTATTAAATCTAAGTGTTTATCTCAAAAGGGGAAGACAAAAAAGCCTGTCAGGTGAAAGTACCTGCCTGCTAATAATGTGTGTCCCATGATTGCCTGAACATCATTCTAGAAGGTGTGCATCCTGCTACACGCAGGCAGTTCATTATATCGGCACCTCCAGGAGATATCATTGCTTTTACATTACACTTCCATCACCTTCACTCATCAGAAGCACATTAACAGCATAAATATATGGAAATAAGTGGTAACCATTACAAAGTGAACTGCATGTAAGATATGTAAGGCATGAAGACAAAGCTAAATCACTGTAGCAGCCTTGAAATTAAACTGAACTTACCCTGATGAAACTCACCTCCATTATATTGTTTCTGAAACAACAGTGTCACTGTTTGGTGAAGATAAACTGTTCATAGGAAGTTAAGTATTATAGGAAATGCAATTGATTCATACATTTGTGTCTATTTGAGAGTTTCCTATTCAATGAAGCACAAAGTCCCTAGCAAAACAAATGCTATTTATTTTTTGTTCATCAATAGAAGTTTGATTAAATTTTATTCAATAGATACAGTAATGAAGAAAAATATTATCAGTTCATAGTATTAACCATGTCTGATAGATATCTTTTCTTTACCTATGGAAAAAAAGTCTAGATGTGTTTCATTCTTTTTGTTCGGCACTTTCCTCGCTATAGTCTCTGGAATAATATAATATAGTTCAGGTAATATAATGTAGTTCAGGTATGCAAGCAGTGAAGCAACCTTTACTATTGTGATAATCAGCTGCTACTGTACCTGAAAGCTGTAGAGACACAATAGCAGGGGTAGTTTCTTAATAACAAGGAAGGAGTGAGTATACAGGTGCTGGTTAACCAGATGTGCAGTATTTAAATTGTTGATTCATGGTTTGATATCTCATTTTGTGTGCACTAGAGGTAACCATTAACTTGCTTTCAAAGCAGAAGGGGCGTATTTTTTTCCTTGTAAAGTCAATTAAATATGTTCCAGTGTTTTTTTAAAAAAAATAAAAATCAAAGCTGGCATGAGCTGAAAATTCACTTGCAGCATATAAACCAAAAATCAGATCTCCTTTTTAATGTATACATTAATTACTACTTACACATACACGGTAAAGAAAAGAGACAGAGTTTTCATCTTACTTCTTGTATTAATATTTACTTTGACATGAGTAAAAAATCTGATTTTGAGAATTTAGAAATTATTCCTGAGAAAGTATTTTTGGCTCTGTTGATAGGAACTGAATTGACAGTCAAAATTGCAGTTCTTTTGCTCTCATTGTTGGTCAGTAGTAATGCCAGTACAGGGTTTTTTTTCTGCTCATTCCCCATTATTTCATGATTACCATGAGCACAAGTTATTCCAGGAGCTCAAATGGTGATGCTCAATAAAAGTGAACTTAAGTTTACTCTCTTAGAATCATGTTCCAGTTAGACTCATATGAAGTCCCTTTTACACAGCTGAGTTTTTAACTGAAATCACGGTAAGCTTCCTACATTTACAATAATGTTACAGCCTGGGTCTACCATTCAGAATTTAGCTTTTATGAATTCAAGCTTTAAGTCTGCAGTCTTAAAGTTGCTGTTCTTGTGGTGAGAACCTCGTTGTTTTAGACATTAGGATGTGTGCAGTCAGTGAAATAGAAAACAACGTAAAGGAAATAATATGACTTCAAGATCCAAGGCAATCTGATGCTTTCTGATTAAAATGTGTTTTACTTTAGACTCTTGTCAAAGTTGCTGAATGGTTCTAGGTAGCTGGGTACCGTAGTGAAGTCTTTTTTCCTGATCTGTTTTTCTAGTCTTTGACAATAGAAAAACTGAGGCTGAGTCTTGTACATACACAGCTCCTACCGAAACTGATTGGAAATGTGGCTGGAATAGAAGATGTGAAATATAATGTGAAGTACCCTGTAAAAATCACATTTTAGGATGTTTCCAGGTGGACACTCGTAACAAATGGATGTTAAATAACAGTTCTAGCTGTAATCTTTAGCAAAATAGTGGTAATTATGGACCTTAATTCCATAGGGCAGGCTGTGATAATGAAGTAATTTAGCGTAGAGAGAGTGGAATAGAAATGTTAAGAGAAATCTTTCTGTTCAGTTAAAGGACTTGTTCAGGACTATTTGGAAGAGGAGTCTTTGAATGAGGTTAAATAAAAATATATAACGATGGATGATTAATTGTATTTGTAACTTTCTTTGTAAGGAAAGTTAATGTCATAATTCATACAAAATAAGGGCTTAATTAAGGTTACACATAATTTTGTTACCTCTTGGATGCCTAACCCATCTCGTAATTATGGTCAGTTGTTATATGTTATATTTGCATATGCGTGTGCACACATGCACACACAAATACTTTTGCACAGACGTGTTTATTACACTGCTAGAAATATTTTGCTACATCATAGCTGAATTTGTGAATTGAGAAATTGAAATATTGGGGGTTGCATATTTTGCTTTTTTACTTGTGTATTTCTGTAAACAGCTTGTTACAATAAAAATGCACTTAACAAGGCTTTTTATATCTGGGATAGAATTTCCTGATGAATTTAAATGAAAGGAAGAGCTATAGCTCCTCCTCTTTCTGATTCACCTCTTTTTTGTTTCCTTTTTAAAATTAACATAAAAGAAGAGAGGGGGAGGTGTGAGGCGAGACCTAC